TCCAGCTAGAAAAAACCACAACCAAATGCCAGCTGTATTCGTTTCCTGGGCTGCCTTACAAAGCACCCAACATGGACGGTTTCTGTCATTTCTGCAGGCTTGGCTTGCAGGACTGTGTCCTCCGAAGGTTCCACCATCAGTAGGTGGCAGCAGTCCTAGGTGTCCTCGGCCCTTGCAACATCACCCCATCTCTGTCTCATAACCACGTGATCTCTTCGTCTGTATATGTCCAGGTGTCTACAGATCACTCTTGCCTTGTAAAGACACCACTTCCTGGATGTGAGACCCACTTCAACGTATCCTTTCACACTAACCCAGTTGTATCTGAAATCCCTACTTCCACACAAGGCTGTAGCCCCAGAGGTCACACCATTGTCAGTATTTTCTCTTGCTTCCCAGGCATGGAAAGAACGAGTTTGGAAAACATGTTTCTGCACATGTCCAGCACTTGATATGGACCCTGGACTGTGCTTAGACACCACTGTCCTTGCCTCCAATGTTACAAGTGTGATATTTGTTTCTTTTCCTCCATTAAACTGCTTGGTCATTTTTAGTATCCTTATGGAATATCTCTGCTATTATGGAATAAGGTTGAGATTTCTCAAGCCCAGAAGACTCCTCAAGGGTTGGAAATGGAACAAGAAGATAGCTTTTGGCATCAAACAACACATAAGATCCCGGGTGGTGTTACACAAGGTCACCAACACTGAACTGAGGGCGTGAAAGCAAATTCTGTGAAAAAGATGGCCACGGAGAATCTGTGCTTAGAAGCTGAAAGATCCCCTTTGAGTGGCTACACTTTCCCAAGAGCATGGACACAATCCTCTGTGGATGAGAAACTCAGGCCTGTTCAGAGCTGCAGGGCATGCTCTGAACCTCCTGAAGGCTTTAGAAAACATTGTGTATCCAGAGACAGCCTGGCCCACAGCCCCGGCAGCATTTCCTTAGTTGTTTTGTTTGTTCTCTGGAGACATTTGTATGGAAATGTGACCTTTGGTTCCTCACAAACCCATCTCCCTGGGGTTAATTCCACTGTTGAAGTCATAATCTTTTATGGAAAGCTTTCTGAACATCTTGACTTCAATATAGTGTTAGATGTCACAGATGGGGGTGATTGTGTGAGCTTTTTGTGTGCCATGTGAAAAGAAGGTAGCATCTGTGGTTGAAGGCAGGGACACAGACGTGGTCACTCACAAACTCATTGGAAAGGGTATGTGGTTGTCTTATGCCACTCATGACCACCAGTGTCCAATTTAATTCCCTCAGAAAGAGCAAACACCCTCGAAGGAGGCACACAAATTAGATTTTCTTCTAAGGCACTCCATTGTGATGGATGGCTCCTTAGAGCAGAGCCAAGCAGCAAATCTCCATGTGCCTCTGCTTCTCTACAGGACAAGCCTCACAGTTGCTTGTGTAAGAAGTCTCATTCTGTACTTGTTGCTGCCTGCCTGTTCTGGCTAAGGCCTGTTGTCTCTGCCGGAGGCCAGATCTACTCTGGGAAATATGGAAGACATGTTCCCAGGAGCTCCAGTGGCAATGTTGGCAATATTGTAGGGAGAAAACTGCCCTAGTGGGATTGTTGGGAAACAGTTCATGTTCCTGGTTGCTAAACTTGGCTCATATAATACAACAACACAAGTTTCTGAATGATGTCCATGGTGTCAACATCTCCTAGACCTAATAGTGAAGACCACCCAGAGTGTACCATAGAACAATATAGCCCATTTACTGATGGGCGCCTTTGTGGGTGAAATGTTAGAGAGAAGACTTGGATTGCACTTGGCGTTGACAGTCTCTCACTTTCTTGTTCTATTAAAGATGTCCAAACAAATTTGGTGTGTGGGAAAGAGAGACACACTAGTACTGGGTAATAAGGGAAATGCAGCCATAATAAAGCAATTGAGTTTGGTCAATACCCTCTTTCCTCTATGTTTCAGAGACACTGATGTTGAGTGACTGGGGGTATGGCAAGAGTGACAATGAGGTGACAGGGGCTGTGAGGATAGGGAGAACCTCCATCCTTCATCTGGAAAGGGTCCAGGCTGAGCAGAGTGGAATATGGAGCCTCTGTGGCCCTAGCAGCTGCTGCTGGTGGTGGTAGTGTGATCCAGCACTCTCAAGGTGACCCACAGGCAGGACTAGAAAGCTACTATGGAACACCTAGGTAACAGCAGGCTTATTGTGTAAGACCCTCGAAAACTCAAGTATCCGGGGTCCCAGGCCACGTTTGCGGTCACCCCAATCACCAGGCAGATTCGAGAGCTTGCTGCAAACTGCACGAGGCTTTATTGTAATTTAACGAGAGCTAACCCCATGTTAGCTCAGGTCTTTCACCCACCCACCATGGCGGATAGCTAGAAAAGACGGCTCCTAGGGGCTCCCGAAAGATCTTATAGGGCAGCGTAAGGGGAGTGTCTAGGGGTACGCACAGGCTCACGATTGGTGTGCCTCCAGGCTTGGAGGGCTTGCCCTGTGTTGATTGGTCAACTGGTTGTTATGGCCCATAGGCCCTCCCAGGGTGGTTGCTATGCTCTCTACGTCATTGCTGTGCGCTTGTCCGTAAAGCACACCCAGGGTCGTAAAGCATAGCGCCACCAGCTAACTTCTGATGGGTTCCTTGTCACGAGACAGGCATCTGACCTCTAAGTGACCAAGGCAGGTTTATGGCAAGCACGTATTCGGCTGTTATGGCTGCCGAAAGGGAAGCTGGTCCCTTCAGTTGGTACCCAGGAAACCCATGGGTGCCCAGCTAAGTGCCTGAAGGCAGATCTTTCTAGTCAGTGAGAGAGGTAAATTCCCAGCAAGGAAGAGCTCGGGTTCACATCTATGGCTGTCCCACCTGCTCAGGTGCTGCACTCATTCCAAAAGTCCTGTACCAGCAGCTTGTGCCTTACTGGCTACAGCATTTGTGACCTGGCACAGAGTCGATTGTTTCAGCCATTATTGTATCAGTGTAAGCTTACACAGACACACCATGTTGTCTCTGGGATTCATGTGTAATGGTCCAGGCAGGTGTGATATATTTGACTCAGGATGTGACAGTTTTGGCCCTTGCCCTGGTTGGATCTGTGTCTGATAGCTAGTGATCTCTGTGTGTGTTACATCATTTGGGCCCTGTGTTTGCTCTTTCAGCTATCCCCAGCATTGCCTTTCTTCCTCTTAGCAGCACCGAGGTCTAGAAAGGTTCTAAGTGCAAGTACTCTGTTGCTAAGACAACCCCACCCAAAAAGCCAGTCTACATTGTAAATGATTCCTATTTAACGTACATCGTGTCTGCTGGGTAACATCCCAAGGATTTTTCTACTATGAACCCGTGTTCTCTTCCAGCTTTACCTCGTTTCATTCATTTCTTCATTCATTCATTAATTCACTCACTCATTTTTTTTTTTTGTTTCTTCAGACAGGATCCTGTGTAGCCCAGATTGGTCTCAACTCTCAACTTTGTTTTATAGCTAAGGCTGGACTTGAATGCCTAATCCTCATGCCTCTGCCTCCCAAGTACTGAGAAAGTGGGTATGTGCTTCCTTGTCTAACTCAGCACCATTTTTTATATGGGGAAATCAAGGCTAAGAGAGAGAAAGGGGGGTGACAAGGCTGGCATCAGAAGCTTGCTGGAAGCATCACCTTGGTCCTCTTTGTCTCTGCAAATAGGAACCACTGTGGGGCCAATAGATTGTTAAAGCCCTGGGTCTTCTTGATGGAGGCTTGAGTGCCTCTGTGCATCCAGACTGCATCTCAGACACATTGGCAACAGCCCAGTAGAGGAACAGCTCCGTGTTGAACCCTTAGTCTTGCCCTCTAGAAGAGGAGACAAGTGACTAAGAGCCTGTTCCCCACCAGCACGCTCCATTCACCTGGAGGAGTGACTTCCCAGTTAGGTTTTGAAGACTCTGAGAGTTTACCAAGTGTACCTAAGCAGGACATCACAGGCTGAAGAAATAACATGTAAAGACACAGGATAAAACTGACTTTTTAAATAGGTGGAACTGCAAGTATGTTAGCATGCAGACATGATAGGGCACATGGGAAAATACTGTGCCACGGACACTGGAGAGGCAGGGCCAGCAGTGTGGTCTGGCTTGCCACACCAGAGACCATACTTCATCTGGGATGTGGGTAATTTAACGTCATAGTTTCAAAACAGGGTTAAGATCCCCAAACCCTGATGCACTCGGTAGTGCTGTTTTCCCTGCTTGTGACATTGTGATATTGAAGGAAATTTTAAAAGTAAATAAGCTCCATGTGTGAACTGCATTGACCTCATGCCAAAAAGAATGACTTTTATTTTCTCCCACTCATTTCTTCATTTTTTTTCACCAGCAATTCCCTTTGGCAAAAGTTATTCTCAGATGGGAGGATAAGTACTTTTGAGGGGTTTTGTTTTTGTTTTTAATGTTTTTTTCAAGTGGCTTTGATTGCATAAGAACATGGTGTAGAATGGTTCCCAGTAGATTTCTTTATAGCAGGGATGGTGGCTAAGACTGATTATGTAATTGTTCCCTCTGTCTATTCTGAGAACCTAACGTTGCCAGAATATGAAAAGCTAACGATGGTAATGGCATCTGCACATCTTTCCAGCTCATGGTTCTGGCCATGGTTGGTTACCCTCACATTGTTTACTGCAGGACAGAAGTCAGTAGTCTTGATGTGGCATTGATCATTTCACCTGTGCTGGCCACCCAAGACTCAGTGCGGTCTGCTGTGCCTTGGATGCACAGCTCACATCCCAGGCAGCACCTCTCACGCATGTCTGGTCTCGCACGTGTTAATATTTGGGTGAGGAAAGGCAGCAGACTTCTGCCTCGCTGAGGCTTGCATTTTGCAGGAAGAGCAGAATGCCATCTGTTGGAGGAGGAGGCGGGAGTATGCAAATACTGCTGTGAATCTCATGAATGCTTAATTTGCTGTAGAACTTATTTTAAGTTTGTTTTATTTTTTAATTTGGAGTCTTTGCATTTAGTTAGTTGTTTGTTTTTTTGTTTTTTGTTTTTACTTTGTAGAATAGTCCTTATCAGTGGCAGAAGATCCTTCTGTAGTATATTTTCCGTGCTGCCGTATCGAGACAGTACCCAAGTCGGGTATGTATATGCATGCATACTTTACAGTTCTCTGGGTGGAAAGCTCAGACACCAATGTGCACAATGTGACTTGCCTTTCTCTGTTCTCAATTTGCCTGGATTTGATGTTACAAATTTAGGGTCTGATTTGGGGGTGTGTTCTACTTTCTTTCAGCCAGAAAACTTCCTTGTTTTTTTCTTTCTTTCTTTCTTTCTTTGTGTGTGTGTGTGTGTGTGTGTGTGTGTGTGTGTGTGTGTGTTTGTGTGTACGAACAAGTGTGTACTCGTGTGTGTATGTGTGCAACATGAGTGCAACTTTCTTACAATCTGCCACTCTTTCTAAATGTGTATTTTATCACCTTGTCCAATACTACAAACCAAGAAAAATATGAGGTCCACCATAAACCACTGGGTCACTCTGACCATTGGAAAAAGGTAGGTCGGGTAAGGACCAAATCCTGTGACTGTACTATGTCCTGTGTCTTGGCTTTGGTTTGGAGACTGAAGGGAGAACTGGAGCTGGCACCGCAGGGCAAATGTGTCACAGCAAAGTGGCATCAGGTACAAATGCACATAATTAGGGGCAGGAGAGAAAAATGGTCTCCTCTCTGAATTAACCAGCCCTCCTCTGACTCCAAGCAGAGAGTAATAATTGAGGGACTGGATTTGCAAGATCACCTTCTGCTCCCTACCACCTTGCAGCCTTTGGTCCCTGCCCTGTATCTAGACTCATCCCCACCATGCCGTCTCCAGCACCTGTGGCCACGGTGCTGCTGGTGTTGGGAGAGGGCAGTGTGCAGCAGCTATCTGGCACATTTCTGGGTGTCATTGTGACAATAGATGCTGTAGATCACAGCCCTTGAGGACAATGTGGCCCTGGTGCTGTTTCACCACTCACCCACCCTGTATTGTTCCCACAAGCTGTCCCCAAGCTCTCCTGCTGGCCTTGGACTTGCTTCTCTACTGTAACAGGTTAAGCTCGTGGCCTGATAAATGGGCCTGGTTCTTACATGGACTCCACATGAGTTCCATAAGAGTAGTTAGATATGTGACTTACAGATTGCACTAATCATCTTTTTACTTCTGCACCCTTAGAACAACCTTGCAGAGTAGGTGTTCTAGGAAAAAGTAATAGCAGATCTCACAGCTTGGAGGATTGGGGCCCACGTAGGGGTAGCCATGAGCTGGCTTGAAGGATGTCCCAGAGAAGTTTTCTTTTACCTACCTAATTTGCTTGATACAGCTGTGGCTGTATCAGGAAGACAGCCTATTTCCAGGGAAACCACTGTGGCAAGGCCCAGAACATCTGGGTGTGAGCATCCTGCCTGTTCTACCTCCCAGAGGAGGTCTGCATCAGCAGTTGATGGTTCTTTATTGGCACAGCGTCTTCGCCATGGCCATAGCTTGGATGGGTCCTATGGAGCTTCCTCATTTCTCTGGACACTTGCTGACCCTTCTGATTGATGCATTCTTTCCCCTGTTCCAACCCATTCATTCATTTCTTTGCATACTTCTTACCCCATGACCAGGTGCTGGTGATGCAGGGAGAGAAAGCTGGGCAGGGTACCCATCCTCCTGAATTCACTCTATGGACGGGAAGACACATCAGATTACATACATACATAGTCACTGTTTTAAATAGACGCTGGAGATGCTCCAACAGGTGGCCACTGCCCCTTCCTAGCTGAGGACTCGCTTGTTTCTGTAAGATAATGCGGCTTCTCCTTACCCTTCATCTTTGAAATGTTCACATTGGGTTCATTCCCAAAGGGTTCATTTCCATATGCAGGTACCCCTCACTGCTGTACGAAGAACCTATCTATCATTTGCAGCTATGATCCATAAGAGCAGTAATCCCAGGCAAGAGTGGGAATGGGAACCATCTGTATGGCCCCACCTTTTGCATGGCTCCCCTTCCCGGCAAACATGCCACACAAGTTCCACGTCTGTGGCAGTCTTGCCAGGGTATGGAGCATTGATGTTATCTGCTTCCCAGAGGGCACCTGAGACTCACGGGAGTTTGTGGACACAAGGTTCCCAGCATGGCATGTGGCATGCCAAGAGGTAGGTGAGTGGGGCCCACTGGTCAGGACCCCATTTTTCTGACAGCAAAAATGGGGAGTCATTGTGGAGAACTTTGAAGATAGTCTGTTTTTCAGTTGTGATTTTGAAGGTTTGGGTATTTTCATCAAAGCCAATAAGAATGTTTGAATGGAGATTATCCAGACCATCTCACCGTGGCTCCATGTGGCCCTCCACATTTTTAGATACCCCAGGGAATGCAAGCTGGCAAGCAGGTACCTGAGCAGCATCTGTTCATGCCTGGTGTCTCTGATGCCGGGAAGGCCTGCCTCTTAGAACCACCTGTGGACTTGACTATTCTGCATTGTGGCCCTGGGTAAAGAGAGACATTTGGATCTAACTTTTATGTCTTAGACATGAGTAGATTCTAGTCTACCATTTCTCCAAGGTTTATAGTTGAGAAACCAAGGGGCCCACCAGAACACAGTTTCTTTGTAAGACCTCACGGGGAAGCAGCCTGTTGTCTGTAACAGAGTCTACCTTCTACCAAAGCAACAAGGAAACACTGAGAGTAAGACCAAAAACTCTACTTGAGTGGCCAAGTGGCATTCTGTGCTTTTGACACTTTAATAAACAGACATCCTATTCATAAATAGACAAAAGCCTATTTGCCATAATTATCCACTGGTAGCTACAATTCTTTTATTAACGGAAAATCATAAACATATATAAGGAAATATACGTGTCAATACCCTATGATAATATATATTAGTAAATAGCACTAGCAGTTTTAGCTTGGGCATACATTGGCTTATTATATAATGCATTTCCACTGTGGAAGATGCCTCATGCTTTCCCAGAAGTTTGCCCTGTGATGTAGCCATCTATCATACAAGTCCAGGGCTGAAAAGGCCTTCAGATAATCTGTCCTTCCTGCTTTGATTCCAGGGTAGCCAAGGTCGGGCAGAGCTGGGATGTGAGGTGTGCATCAGCCCTAGGATTCTGAGCTCTGTAGTCTGGTACCCATGTTTCCTTTGTGCTTCTGTGTGTGGACCAGGCTGTGAGGGCCTGATTATTCCAGACTGTTGAGTACAAACACACACCAGTAGAGGAGGTGCTGTACGCTCCCAGCTTCATCACAAGAAGATCCCAAAACAGGAAACTCAGTTGTTCCTCTGCCATGTGCTTGAACCTACTTTGCAGGGCGAGCATTTCTCAAGATAGGCAGCCTAATCTTCCTGGGTGTGTTATCTGGCTTCTCTGACAGCATGGCAGCTTCCCAGCACCACCTCCCATTCTCTTGGTCACCCAGCCTCACCCACTGCTGTGGCCCAAAGTTTTGTGCTTTGTGAGTTGGTTTTTTTTTTTTTTTATTTCACCTGAAGTGCATACTGAACTTGGTGCCTGTTATCAGTTGACAGTGCTGACAGAGCCATCTTAGATATTTCACCATTCATTTTTATTGTTTTTGCATTCAGTCCTTTGTAGTCCCCAGTGTGCATGAAGCCCTGATGGAGAATACGTTACTGCCCCTGAATCATCATCAGAACCCTTGGCTGTGTAAAATCTGTGGCCCCACCCACTGCTCCTGGCTCTTCCCCACTTCACCCCCTTCCCTGTGTAGATGTTCACGCCCCCCCCCCCAATATTGCAGAGCAGGATTCAGTTCTTGCAGTCTAGAGAGTACCTATTTTTTGCCAGGCACTGTTCAAGGCAGCAGGCATGATGAACATGAAAATGTCTCTCAGAGAGACTAGACATAAACTTACTCTCAAACAAAGCAGCCATCCAACAGTTGAATCCTAAGCAGTTGCCCAGTTCTTGGGGCAAGTGGAGACCAGGAGAAAGAACTGAAAGAATCCGGACAGCTGGGCAGCAGGGTATTCCCCAGTGCAGGTGTACTGAGCTAGATGTATGAACCCTTAGGAAAAAAGAAGTGTTTGAGACTCTGGACTTCCAAAGATGTCTGAGGATGAACCAGTTTCTGGCATGGTTAACAGCTTTCTTCATGGAAAGAATTCAATAAAGCTGTGTCCAAGCTGGGACCCTGCTTCTGAGCAAGTATTCCACCCTAGTAAGGGAGAAATCTGAAGTGAACTTGCCAGGAGTCCAGGTCATGGGATGTGCCAGCTCTCACAGGACCTTCACTCAGCCCTCACCTCCATTCCCTTATGGTTCCTGTTGGGAATGCTTGGCTCAGGTCTCCCACGGTTGGTGTATTGAAGAGACTGTGAGTGAGACACATAGCTCACACTCCCCATCTGTCAAAAATCCGTGGCTTCCAGCGCTCACCTGAAAATTATCCTTCACAGGGCTTTTTAAGCTTTCAGATTTCAAGACAGGCACTGATGGGGTGAGTTTTGGCAGTTTTCTGGTCAGGGTGATAGGATAGGGGGTCAATCCTCAGCTTGAGAACAATGTGAAATACTCAGTGTATATGCAAGCCACCGGGTTTGTGCGGAGCTGGTGTTAGAACAATCTCCAAGATGACTTCTGGAATTTCCAGTGAAAGCAGATGACCTGGTTAGTTGACAGTTGCCCCAAAGTTTAGACTGCCTCAATGTGTAGGGAAAGGTGTTTGAGAGAAGGCATATTTTGTTATAATTTTCAGAGGGTATAGCTAGAGGTTTGTGTGCTAGAGTATTGAGCAGCATGTGGTTGTTTCCTAGAGCCTTCCAAGCGTGTGCACTCATTTCTTCTTCCAAGGACTGGATAAGATAGGTACCTGTGTTATTTCGCTTGAGAAGAATGAGAGACAGTGTGACTAGGCAACCTCAGCTGAGGAGAGTAAGGACAGAGAGTAGTGGGACTCTGTTCATTGCTATGAGATAGCTCAGCCCATAGCAATTAGCCCCAGCCATCCTTCCCTTTCTCAACCATCCTTTTAGGGTTGGACTTGCTGGCTCAAGGCTTTATGGTATTTATAGGTATCACACAGGTCACTTCCCCTGGGAACTTTAGTGGTCAAGCTGTTGGGTGATGGCTTTCAGAGCTGTGAG